GAGAATTGCTCCACGCATGCACAGAGGCAATGCACTGTCATAAACATGACAGCGTCTGAATTTTGACCATGGGTCTATGGCAGTGGTAGGCAACCTTGGCTCTTTTATGACTCGTGGACTTCAACTCCCAGAATTCCTGAGCCAGCATAGCTGGCTCAGGAATTCTGGGAGTTGAAGTCCACAAGTCATAAAAGAGCCAAGGTTGCCTACCCCTGGTCTATGGGGATGCTGCAATGTTAAATGGAGGAAAATGGTCATAAGTCCCTTGTTTTCAGCGCTGTTGTAACTTTGAACGGTCACTAAAGGAATGTTTTTAAGCCTTTACAGCAGTGGTTCTCAACCTTTTTAATGCCGCGACCCCCAACTGGTCGTAAGTCGAGGAGTACCCAACCGGTCGTAAGTCGAGGACTTTCCCTACCTGGGAGTGCCGCGCATGCATGGTGCCGCCCCCTGTGCCGGCCGAGGTGTAGCTGGCAAGCAGCAGAGATGGACCAGGCCGACCACCGGCTGGGCCACCAGTTGGCCCAGCCCAAGGGAGGTAAGGCACCTGCCAGGCCCCATGCGCGCCAGCAACCCTCCCTGCGCCCGCCGGCCTCCCACCTCCCACCCCTGGCCCTCTTTTCCTTACATTTTTAGTAGTTGCTCAGCAGGGAGGGGTGGAAGCTTCCAGACAGCTCGCCTTCGCTGCAGACAACTTGCAGCACCGTTTGCAGAATGGGACTTTTGGTGGGCTCAGCAGGGCAGAGACAGCCTGGACAATTCCAATTGGCTTTTGAAAGCCAATAGAATTAGACTCTATTCAAGAGAGTCTATTCTATTGGCTTTCAAAAGCCCACAGAATAAAAGGGAGTAGCACAGCTAAGGAAAAGGGGGGAAAAAATGGCGGACTGCGTTGTTTGGCGACCCTCATGAAATGGTCGTTCGATCCCAAATGGGGCCCCAACCCACAGGTTGAGAACCACTGCTTTACAGGATGTCACAGGAGGACACTTTCTTGGTTTGGATGTTAAGAGCTGAGGACGTCTCCTAGTGGAGCGAGGCACCAAATTCCCAACATTTCCAGGGAAAAGGTTTAATGTTAATATTTATATAAAGGAGTTCTCTTTATTAGGGAAACTGACGGTGATTTTCCTTCTGTGCTCTCAGAAAGGGGGAGGGAGTCTGGATCTTAATTCAGAAGATCATGCCTTCTGGGGTGGTCTTTGGAAAAAGAAATATATACATCAGGTATTTATTTAGCCTCTGTGCTCAGTTCAGGGGCATTAATACACTCAATTTTGTTGTGCGGTCTCTGGGGCTGCCCAGTATTGCCACAAAGAAGAGGGGTTCACGTTATTCTCCAAAGCACCAGAGGGCAGGACAAGAAACAATGGTTGGAAACTGATCAAAGAAAGAAGCAACTTTGGAATTAAGGAGAAACTTCCTGACAGTGAGGACAATTAACCAGTGGAACAACCTGCCTCCAGAAGCTGTGAATGCTCCAACACTGGAAGTTTTTAAGAAGAGACTGGACAGCCATTTGTCCGAAATGGTGTAGGGTTTTCTGCCTGAGCAGGGGGTTGGACTAGATGACCTCCAAGATCCCTTCCAACTATTATTATTATTATTATCGATCATCGCATATTATTATCATCATCATCATCATCATCCCTGGCTCAATGTTATAATCTAAATCAGGGGTGTCCAACCTTGGCAATTTTAAGACTTGTGGACTTCAACTCCCAGAATTGGTTCTCAGGATAAACGGTTGTCCAGGATAATATAAGGCAGTGAGGGTGAACCTTTTAGAGACCGAGTGCCCAAAACCGCAACCCAAAACCCACTTATTTATCGCAAAATGCCAGGACTGCATCAGCATTGTGGTGCCCTCCAATACTAGAAGAATGAAGGAGGAAGAAATAATCAGGAAAAATATTGGAATGTGCAGAGATGGACAGACTAACTATGAGGTTGAAAGACAAAGAAGATACGGACTACCATCAAATTTGGAATGTATTTTATTCTTGGTTAGAGAAAAGAATGAAGGATTAGGAATTGAACATGTATTAGCTTAGCAAGCTCCAGATAACTTGTTGATTGGAAAAATTAACATATGTTGATGAAAATAATAATAATAATAATAAAAAGCATTGTGGTGCTCTCAGGGTGGGTGTGGGTGTGGCCCACGGGTGGGCATGGCTGCGGTAGTCATGGCAGACTGAGTGGGCGTGGCTGGGATGGGCGTGGCCACCTTGATGTTGCTTGTGGGGGGACTCCTGTGGGGGCTGGGCAGGATTGGGGGAGATCCAGAGTGTTTTTGGTGGGTGGGGCAGTGATCAGTAGGCTTGTTCTGTGGAGTGAGGCAGAGGTGCCATTTTTGCAGGGCAAGGTGAGGCAGGGGTGACTGAGGCCCGATACCATCAGCCCCCGCACATAGAGGCCAGCGAGCACATGGGGGGGCATGCTCTACCATCTCTACTCCAGCTTGCTAGCCAGTTACTTCACCTCCTTTGTGCTGGGTGGGGCCGCCGCTCTGGGCACCAGCTATGGCCTAATGGACCTGCATGAGCTGGCGGTGGTGGCAGGTGTGCCCACAGAGAGGGCTTTGAGTGCCGCTTCCGGCATACATGCCATAGGTTCGCCATCGCTGATATAAGGTCTCCTGCCTTGTGCAGAGAGTTGGACTAGAACAGTGGTTCTCAACCTTTTTAATGCCGCGCCCCCCAACTGGTCGTAAGTCGAGGACTACTCAACCGGTTGTAAGTCGAGGACTACTCAACTGGTGCAGCACCGTTTGCAGAATGGGACTTTTGGCGGGCTCAGCAGGGCAGAGACAGCCTGGACAATTCCTATTGGCTTTTGAAAGCCAATAGAATTAGACTCTATTCAAGAGAGTCTATTCTATTGGCTTTCAAAAGCCAATAGAATAAAAGGGAGTAGCACAGCTAAGGAAAAGGGGGAAAAAAATGGCAGACTGCGTTGTTTGGCGACCCCCGTGAAATGGTAGTTCGACCCCAAATGGGGTCCCGACCCACAGGTTGAGAATCACTGGACTAGAAGACCTTCCAGCTTAACTCCTAGAATTCCCCACCCAGCTTAAATTTGCTGTGGTTGAGCAACACTGGATAAAGCACTAAACTGGAGCCATAGGATGTGGAAAGCAAATGCTTTGGGTATCCTACAGGAGGTGCAGGCAAGAGAGCACAGCCCATCATTCTTTTATGGCACTTCATGTTTCCAGGCACAGTCAGGAGAGCGAAAGCTCAGGGGAATCCAGCCTACAAGCGCCGATGGGATCAGACAGGATGGAAAAGGCAGGTAAAAGGAAGGGTCTGTTTGGGGCTTTAAAAAGGCTCTTTGTCCCAGATTGTAAAGTCTCCCGGATGTGCATTTAAAATTAAAAAGCAGCTTTTTTTTTTCCCACGCCAAGGAGAGAAAACCCGGCGTGCCATAATGGAGAAATCGAACACCTTGGAAGAAAGTCCCATTAAAGCCGAGGCAGTTTTCCTTCCTGATAAACACCCCTCCTCTCCCGAACATCAGCTGTTTTTTTTCCCTTTTCTTTTAAGGGATGCAAACAGATCCGTGCAAAGCGAGGAGGAAGGAGGGAACCGAGCGGGACTTTCCACGCAGCAGGGCGATCTCCGCCCGGTTGCACCGCCGCAGCTTCGCTCAGCGGGGCAGGGAAAGAGAATTGAATGGAACGGAACAGAATAGAAAATATGGAATGCAATAGAATAGAATAGAATAGAATAGAATAGAATAGAATAGATGGGATAGATGGGATAGGATAGGATAGAATAGGATAGTATAGATGGGATGGGATGGGATGGGATGGAATGGAATAGAATAGAATAGAATAAATGGGATGGGATGGGATGGGATAGATGGGATGGGATGGGATGGGATGGGATAGGATAGGATAGAAGGGATAGGATGGGATGGGATGGGATGGGATGGGATGGGATAGGATAGGATAGAATAGATGGGATGGGATGGGATAGGATAGAATGGAATAGAATAGAATTAGAATAGAATAGAATAGAATAGAATAGAATAGAATAGAATAGAATAGAATAGAATAGAATAGAATAGAATAGAATAGAATAGAATAGATGGGATGGGATGGGATGGGATAGGATAGATGGGATGGGATGGGATGGGATGGGATAGAATAGAATAGAATAGAATAGAATAGATGGGATGGGATAGGATAGGATAAGATAGGATAGGATAGGATAGAATAGAATGGATGGGATGGAATGGGATGGGATAGAATAGAATGGGATGGGATGGGATGGGATGGGATGGGATGGGATGGGATAGAATAGAATAGAATAGAATAGAATAGAATAGAATAGAATAGAATAGAATAGAATAGAATAGAATAGAATAGAATAAATGGGATGGGATAGGATAGGATAGGTTAGGATAGAATAAGAACTTTATTATCACTTTAAATGTACATTAATCAGCACACACTAAAATGAGATTTTGTCATAAATATGACAAAAATTATGCATATACCCACATGCACAGGCATATATGACCGAGGGAAACAACACAGTCTAGTTTGGATGTATACATATAAAGGGGGAGAGCTCCGTTTTGTCAGCCCAATTGCAAATGACACTTGCCTGCCACGCTCTCCCCACATCTACCTTGCACGAAGAATACCTCCTCCCAGTCAGCCTTTCCTTCCTTCCTTCCTTCCTTCCTTCCTTCCTTCCTTCCTTCCTTCCTTCCTTCCTTCTCTCCCTCCCTCCCCTCCTCCGTAGGCGAGCGAGCGAGCGAAACGCCGAAGAGGAGCAGGAGAAGGGAGGGGGAATGAGGGCAGCAGGGGAAAAGCAGCCTCGGCGTCGCTTGAGCCGGCTACGCATGCTCGGAGGGGCGGGGCTGCGGCTGGAGGAGTCCGGCGCCTGCGCGCCGCCCGGCCGCGGCGCGAGTGGGCCACCGCAGCAACCGCCGCGAGCGAGCGAGCGAGGGGGCGGGGCGAGGCGGTGGGCGGGACGGCGAGGCGGCGCGCGCCGGCTGGCTCGCGGGCTCCGCCGGGAGGGCGCCCATTGCGGAGCTGGAGGGTGCCGGCTCCGCCGCCCCGATGAGCTCCACCAACCCACCGGCACCCGCGGGCGGCGGCGGCGGCCGGCTCAGGCAGCTCCTCTGGCCGCCGCCGCCGCCGCTGCTGCTGCTCCTGCTGTTGCTCCCGCCGTCGGCTCAGGCGGATGTCGCCCTGACCGTCCCCGCCACGCCGGCCGGACGCTGCCCGTCGGGGGACAAGCGAGACAGCCCGGCCAAGGCTTCCGCTGAGAGGCGCCCGCTGGGAACCGGTAAGCTGAGCGGCGGCGGGGACGGGGACGCGGAGGCGGGGTGGGCGGACACGTGTCTCGGCGACGTGTGCACCGGACGCGGCTGCCACGTCATGCGCGGTAGCGGCGGCGGCGAGCGGGGCCCGGACGAAGCGGACAGGCGGGGATGCGGATGTGTGTCCGCGTGTGTATGTGTGTGTGTGTGTGTGGGGAATGAACAGTCGCCGCGAAAGGTGGGAAAGGATATTTCGGGGCACTGCTTGGTGGTCCCTTGTCCCCCGAGGGATGACCGGACACGGGTGTTGCGTGTCGAGATGAATTGCGGGGTGGGTGACTGGCAGGAGGGACGGGAGCTGGTTCCTGGTAGACAGACAGACATTGGAGATGATAGATAGATAGATAGATAGATAGATAGATAGATAGATAGATAGATAGATAGATAGATAGATAGATAGATAAGTAGGTTGGTAGGTAGGTAGGTAGGTAGACAGATCAGATCAGATCAGACAGAAGAGATGATAGAGAAGATACCATAGATAGATGTCGATAGATAAAGAGAAATAGACATTGGAGATGATAAATAAATAGATGGATGATAGACAGATAGACAGATAGATGGATAGATAGATATAGATTAGATCAGTGATTCTCAACCTTTCTAATGCCGTGACCCCATAATACAGTTCCCCATGTTGTGGTGACCCCCAAGTGGGTGTGGCCACCAATAAGAGGGAGTAGGACAGCTAGGGAAAAGGGAAAAAAATGGCGGACAGCGTGGTTTGGCGACCCCCCATGAAATGGTCATTCGACCCCAAATGGGGTCCCAACCCACAGGTTGAGAACCACTGGATTAGATAGATAGATGGAGAAAATAGATAAGAGATAGATAGATGAGACACAGACAAACAGAAGAGATGATTGAGAAGGTACTATAGATAGATAAGTAGATAGATAAAGAGAAATAGACATTGGAGATGATAGATAAATAGATGGATGATAGAGATGGATAGATATAGATATAGATGTAGATATAGATAGAGAAGATATAGAGGATAGATAGAGAAGATAGACATTACAGATGATGGATATAGATTAGATAGATAGAGAAGATAGAGGATAGATAGAGAAGATAGACATTACAGATGATGGATATAGATTAGATAGATGGAGAAGATAGATAAGAGATAGATAGATGAGACAGACAAACAGAAGAGATGATCGAGAAGGTACTATAGATAGATAAGTAGATAGATAAAGAGAAATAGACATTAGAGATGATAGATAAATAGATGGATGATAGATAGATAGATACAGATATAGATAGATGGATAGATAGATAGATAGATAAGATAGATAGAGAAGATAGAGAAGATAGACATTACAGATGATGGATGGATGGATGGATTGGGTGAGTGAGTGGATGATAATCCCTTGTTATTGTCTGAAAGATCCTTTGCAGGACTGGCAATGCTTGTTCCGGGTTTCCCCATTGCAATGACTGCTCCTATGCAAATGGGGTCTTGCAGGATACTTGGTTGGTTTCTTTTTTCCTCCCTTTCTTCAAAGGAGCTGCTTTTTGTCACCTAGCCCTGTGGCTGCTTTGGCCTTTCTCCACCAGCCCCTTGACCTCTGCCCAGTGAGGGTTCTTTTGCTCCTGGTTCTTTTTTTGCGGGGTGGGGGAGAGGGGGAACCCTATGCAGTTGGGAGGGATGTGTGTGTGGGGGGGGGAGGATCAACAGCAGCAGCAGCAGCAGCACCCCCAGCAACAGCAGTGCGCAACTGACGCTTCTCCATCCAGGCTTCGGAACCCGGCTCCAAGTTGCTGGAGCATCTTTACAAGACAGGAATATATTTTTGGGGGCAGGAATGTATTTTTTGGGGAGGGTGAGGGGTGCGAGAGAGGGAAGAGAAGGAGGGGCAATGAACATCAAGACCTGCGGCCCCAGGGGTGGGTGGTTGGGAGCAGTAGCCGTGGCCTTCAGCACAAGGGAAGGCACAACAACACACACCAGCACCGCGGGGCATCTTTGCTTTGGCGTCTTGCTGGAGTCTTCCTCCAGCCAAGTTGGAATGAGACAAAACAGTCCTGCGAAGGGTTCGTCTTGCACGATCAACAGGAAGACTCCCTGGAAAGTTGTGGAATTCAACCCCAGGAAACGGATTGGCCTTTTTTTTTTGTGTGTGTTGCCAATGAGGAGCTGGAATGCAGATTGTTTTTGTAGAAAATGTGCCGGGATGGTGGAAGATGAAGCTTGAGCCCCAGGCTACGGGGCCACTGTGGACTTCAGAATTTTTTTCAGAGGGAACATCCTGAGGGTTAAGGTTGACTCCTGGGATCCATCCATCCCAAACAGGGAAGCTGTTTTCAGAAGCCGTCTTTGTATGTTGTGTGTGTGTGTGTGTGTGTGTGTGTGTGTGTAGTACGTGTAAAACCAGCTTGTTACGCCCACACACCTGGCATGTCCTGGTGGTCTTCTTTCCACATATTAAGCTGATTCAACCCTGTTTAGTTTTTTTTTTTAGATCAGGCTAAGTGCTGCCACCTACTGTTAGGATGTATGTAACAACATGTAGGAAACATTTCATATTGAAAAAAGAGGTTTTTTTTGTTTGTTTTATTTCGTTTCTTCAAAAGATGGAAGTTGTGCTAAAGTTATCCCTATGACATCCAGTGTTAGATGTGAATTCTGGATTGGAAGCTGACCAGAAATTTGTGTTAGCTGAGAGCAAATATGGGTGAGAGTCTAAACAAAGAATTTTTTTTTTTTAAGTATGTAAGTAAATCAAAAGATATACATCTGAATAAAAAAATTACCTTCTGTGCTAGATCCATTTTAGGGTTTTTTTCCTAAGCGAAAAAGGCTTTAAGTTTTGTCAGTCTGTTACAAAAGACTGTTGCAGCAAAATTAGCAGCTTTATGGTACTTAAAAGACACAGCATAAACTCTTTTGGAGTACAATCTGATGAAGTACATTATTGTCAATAAGCACCACAATACGCCTTTATTGCTTAGCTTGGATAATTTTGATTTTATTTTCTGCCCTTTTTCAAACTTCTGAAGATCACTTTTGAGATGTGATATATGCCCTGGTCTCTCATCATTTTAAAATCAGATCATATCAGCATGCATAGGAACCTAAATTATTTTTATAATATATCACTTTGCATTGGTTTACATGTTCATTCTCCCACATCAAAGAGGTCTTACAGAACCAACCTTCCTTCCTTCCTTCCTTCCTTCCTTCCTTCCTTCCTTCCTTCCTTCCTTCCTCTAGCTGCAGATCATGTGTGAATAAATTAATGTATTGATCCACTACTTAACAATTCCACTCTGTGTATGCATTCACCCATTACAAGAGCTATCCATTTATTCCTAATTGACTTTTTTCTTCTTTAATCAGTTACCAAGTAACACAACAATTTTCTTCTTGTTCCATTATTGTTAAGTTTTCTGGGAGATATTCATGAAAAGCCCTTAAAAGCCACATAAACACAATTGATTGGGTCACTCTGCCCACTGGCTCTTGTCAGCATCCTCAGAGAACTCTTAAATTACTTTTGCAGAAGTTTTTTGTGTATGTTTATCCTGACAGTTTGTTATATAATGCTTTTACCAATTTAGAGGAGTGAACATTAAGATAAGAAGTCAGTAATTTCCTGCATCCTCCCTTGATTGCTTAAAAAAAGAGATGTTGCATTGGCTGCTGTCCAGTGCTCGGCTACAACAGCTGATCTTAAAGACATGGCACATGTTTTTGTTAAAAGATAAATAATTTCACATTTGCATTCTTTTACAGTTCCTGAGTGACTTCCATTTGGACCTAGGAACTTGTCCGCTTTCAATTTTTTGGGCAAACTTCAACTGCATCTTATTTTCACTCAAACTCCCTTTTTAAAATCTCCAATATAGAAACTGGAAAAAAGTAAAATATTTAGTTGGCTTTGGTATACTTTTCTTGACTATTTTAGAACTCCCCTTTGTTTTCCTGTAATCCAGTGGTCTAAACATCACCTTAGGCTGGATTCTTATTTTTGATATGTATTTAAGTTGTTGACTTCAAACCTTAAAACGGTTTTTTAAAAAAAATATATATATTTTTTTTGCATTCTCATTCTCTTTCTTCAGTGCAAGTTTTCATTCCCTTGTATTTTTCTTGATTAAATTAGGGCAAGAGCCTTATTTTCTGACAGTAGCCATACATTATTTCATCACTGTGCTTGTGATTGGACCTTAATTGTTTTGCGATATACCGTGATAATTCAATATTCTCCAGCTTCGTTTAATACACACATGCCTGTATAGACATAGCCACCCATCAAGAGTCAGATCACAGTGATCAATGTCATGTCATCTCAGCATAATGAATGTAACAATTTTGGGCTCCTTTATAGATTTGTCGTGCTTTGTATTCGCCATGACTCCTGTCTCTCGCAGGATGTGGGCAGCAGTGATAGAATCTACTTTCTGCATTGTCAGGATATTTATAATATATATTTTAAAATTAGGGAGATGGCGGGAGATGCTCTTCAAAACAGAAGTCTCTCTGACAGTTAAATAGCGCTCTGTTAAATGAAATAGGCAAAGATAAATAAATAAATACTAGTTGTCATTTTTTTTTTACAGTATACCTTAGGATCTTTTGGATTGGCACCAAAGACGGTCAATAGAAAAATATCACTCAAGCCATTTTGAACAATCACTCTCGATGTCATTTAAGTGATGCTATTGGAGACGAGTATTGTGGCTTTTTTGATTGGCATCTTTTATCCAGCTCTTGTAAGCCAGGACAAAGTATGGACGATATACTGTATATATCAACCTATATCAGGGGTAGGCAACCTTGGCTCTTTTATGACTTGTGGAGTTAATTCCCAGAATTCCTGAGCCAGCCATGCTGGCTCAGGAATTCTGGGAGTTGAAGTCCACAAGTCATGAAGGGGCCATAGTTCTCCCATGCTGGCTCAGGAATTCTGGGAGTTGAAGTTAGAAGTCATGTAGGAGCCATAGTTTCCCCATGCTG